GAAGCATGCAGAGCTTAGAGTTATATTATACTTACCATTCATTGTGTAGATGATACAACATGGGCAATTGCTCTCTGGAGATTTAAACAAATAAAGCTCTATTCACCTTAACACGAATCTTATACACCCATCATCGAGAAAAAAAAAAAAAAATGCATATATAAACTTTACTTGTTAGCTCAATCCTTCGATTTAATTCCGCTATATATAGCATATAAAATGCTTGTTACTCCTTTAGAAGATTTCGACTCTTTTAAACACTATGATCGCGTATATTAATTCGCGCAGATTAATTCACGATTAAGCCACGTTTGGTTTTATGATATCGGACAGAGAACCTGATCTGATGTTGACTTCTTTCGCACTCTAGTCAAATTCTGAGAAGATCGCAAACAGATTGAGAAATTTAATACATTGTCATGTGATCGTGTGATTGACATGAACAGAGAAGCAGTAGAAAATAGCAATAAATAAAATGAAAATATTTCCCTTTTAATGACAACTGAGTGGGATAATAATATTTGATAAAGATATAATTTTTTTCTTTTCTTTTTCACTTTTGGGCAAAAAAAGCCCTTGGTTTATTTTCTTTTACTTTTAATTCGTTGTAGTTTTTTCAAAGTTTCAGCAAAATTAAAATCAAAAAAAAATCCTTTAATTATAAACAAGATGCAATATGACGCTGGCCGGGGTAAATGTTACGTTTGCAACGTGAACGATATGTAGCATGCAAAGCAGCTCAAAGGGCTCTTAACGTTATCTGACTAGCTCGCCGAAATTGGGGGGTTCATGAAAGTGATTTTTTGATTAAAAAAAACAAACTCAAAACCGAATAGTTGCGATAGCAGTCTTGCTGGGTTAAGTTAAAAATTTTTGCAGTAGTCTTCCAATCCACTTACCTTTTTTTTTTTTTTTGATTTTACGCGAATTTAAAAAAATTTTACAATGTATCGAAAATTTTTGTTTCAAAAAAATTCGTAAATCAAATTATCACAGTTTTTATTCCAACTTCAGAAAAAGTCTTTCTTTATATTGTTATACACATTTTTTTTGAAAATTTTTAAATTTACTTTTTTTCATTTTATTTATTTTTACTGAACTGAACAAAATCCAAAAGTTGAATAATCAAAAAAACGTTCCCAACAAAAAAGAAAACTTGACATCCCAAAAAAAAAAATAAAAAAAAAAAAACCAACGCCTACTTGTTTTCCTACAGATATGCAACGCATAATTAATTCAGATGATTAATTGGCCTGTCAGAATCGCTGTGTACCGCATTAGTCAAATATATATGAAAGATTTATTTTTGCTTTTTTTGTAATCCTGTTCTGCGCAAGTGTGAAACTCTTTTTGGCAACTTATCTCTCATGCTTAGAAATTATAGTAAGTAGTTTGAGAGGTCTTAACTTTAACATCAAATTTTTGACGATTTATATCGTCAGCGTTATTGTAAGCGGTAAACAGATTTTACAAATGTTCTGCTGATGTCGCAGATTCTGTGCCGCCTGGAAATAGTGTCCGGTGCTACGGACTTGGTCGCATTCTTAATTCGATATACATTATGTCTTACTTTACTTTATCGAGTCAATTTGTAATCTACAAGCGAATTGAAGTTGTGGAGTATTTGGGCCTCCTGCATCCGCTATGTATTATTGGTTATGCAATTGTGGTGATAATCTGGACTTTAATGATCATCTTGGAATTCACCTGATATTTATATTTTCGTATTATGTACTTTATCACTTACTACAATGCACTTACATTGGCCCTTCAAGGGCATTTATTAAATAAACAAATAAATAAATGGATATCTTATCAATGTCAAAGGATTCCGTGATCACTCAAGTGAACGGCCAAATATTTTTTATAATTCCGATAAGATTCCTTAACTTTGGCGCTCGCCATTTTGTGCCATATATTCTCGAACATTTAAGAGCATTTTTCCTGCTCAAGTTAATACCGAAGATTGCCCTTAGGCTTACGCTTAATAGGGAGCTTCTGATTAAAGTAACTAATTTTAAATCTACCACGTACAATAGTAAATAAGAAGTATGGCTGTCAAATCTGCATATTCGGTCTTTTGAATTCCTACGTACGGTTAGCTTGTGTCCGTAGTTATAATGAATATGCAACGATAGGACACTAGAACTTCTCGCGGTACGGCCGCATCCTGTTTCTCTTTTTCCGCTTCCATGTTCGTGTCCCTCACCGTATAACGGACACTCTACAATTGCATGATAAGTCAATAAACAAATAGAAACTGCAGCACGTAAAAGCAACAATATTAAAGAATGCCTTAATTGGCAAATCGAGTAAGCGCTTTGAGATAAAAATTCAAGCTGTTTAGCGTTTGACAGAATGACGAGAATGTGAATTCGGTAAACGCTTAGAAAACCATAAGTCTATCTCTGACCATAATTTTTATTGTTTTTTATCACGTGACACAATTTTGGAAACTGCAAATTGATTACAAATCTCTGCTAATTGGTTGGACATGCGATAACATATGTTAAACAATATCATTACTTATACCCTAATAATTGCTGCGTGAAAAAATATCGATCGAATTGTAATCGTTTTGGCCACTTTAACATACACTTTAAGAAGTCATTCATATCGGATAGTATAATAAAACAATTAACCCTTTCACCGCATTCTTATTTAAAGTGCTTACGTCATTATGCATTAGTTTTACTCCATAAAATAAAATGAAATAAAAAACAAACGCGTCGCACGTGTTCTCAACGTACGACGGATACTCATGCACTCGGATGCACTCGAGTATATTCTCAACGTGAACAAAGGGTTAACAAAAATGATAGCAAAAAAGGAAAAGAGCAAACAATAATTTATGGGAAAAATGACAACTATTTAATATACTTGTCAAGTGTAATTATGTGAAAATTACAAAATATTAACCGCAATTAAATGAGAACACAACTCTAAAAAATGAAATAAATATAAATGAATATATGTCATATAATGCATATTTTACGCTTAGAGAAAAGTTTTAAAACAATCTCACAACATAATTTTTACTATATATTTAAAATTTAACAAAAAAGGTTAAAGTCGAAAAGTGTGTTACATAATTTCCGTTTATTTTTTTTTAGAACACAGATTAGCTGAAAACACGCTCGAATAGCGGAGACAAAAGTTTTCTTGAACGTGGAAAGAAACAGAAAAGAAATGATATTCAGTTTAGAAGACCACCACCGCCACTACCTCCTAAGATAAGGACGTTTCGCATTGAATGTCGCATCTATGTCGAAAAGTAAGTAAGTAACGCAACATATTGTAAATGTGTAGGAGGGCAAGTAGTAAATTGCAACATTTTTTATTAAGAAAGACGGGATTCAGCTTAGTTAGCAACTTCGTTCGCATCGGGTGTAAACAATTTTTGACGCGTTGACACACACAGCAAGCCTTTCGGTGGATGCAATGTTAATCAAACGATCATCTGTTGGTAGGCATTACTCTCCTTGTTACCGATAGAATACAGCATCGAGAGCATCCTATTTCAGTTCGTATCGACTAACATTTCTTGGACGAATTTTTCAAGATGAACAAGCGCGTTGTCACGCAGAAAAATCGACTTGTAGTAGCCTTTCCCACCTTATCGTCGTTTCTCCTTTAATGCACGAAGCAATTGCATCAGTTGTTATTAGTAGCGTTCCTTAGTGATGGTTTCACTTGACTGGACGAAATTTGATTTATTCATTAACACAATGCTCAACGTTTCCTTGACCTTTCAGGCTTTTTCTGTTCTGTTTGCTCCCGATATCTTCCCATATATAAATTGTAAACGTTTCGTATGAGCGGTTTTTTTTTTTCTTTGGCTAATACTACTACGTTAAAATTCCCACAATTTATCTATAGATAGAGGAACAAGAACAACCTTTTTAAATGTGGTGGTGAGTACTGAGCTTAGAAGGAAATCTCAGAGCGGCACCTGTCACAAGTGTGATAGTTAAATGAATATAAACATTAATTCTCGGCTTTCGGGAATGTTTCTTCTTCTTTACAAGTAGTAGTTTACAAGTACAAGTGCTCGTTTATGGTTTGTGATACCGGATTTGGACACAAACGAACTGGGTTTAAAATTGTTTATTTTAGCTTTTGAAACCGGGATGAGTTGAAGTAATAGATAATGTAAGAGACCAACATAATCAAATCGATTCAAAACTTCATATTGATCGGGAATGAAGTTTTCCACGAATTCTTTTTAAAACCGGTAAGGTAAAGTATTTCAAAGTATATTCGAAGCAAATAAGTTCTAAGTGGAACGGCACGCAAATGCCTTCCTCTAAAGGAACGAAATCAGCAAATTTAATTTCGGAGCACTTTCCTTAATTAATGTGGGATCTGATTTCATCAATAAAATTTATTGCTTTACGCTGACGACTTCAAAGAACTTTGCAAGGAGCAGGGCAAAGGAGTTAATAACCCCACTGAAACGCACACAACCATAAATTGGCAAAAGTGAACCGTGAAAAGTTGAAATATGAAAAATTTGCATAACTTCCACACGTCATTGGGGCATTGCCACAGTCTTCCATGATAAATTTGCAAACCTTACTGACTACATCAAATAAATACAGACTGCTGGTGATAGTCAAAGGTATGGCTACTACGGCGGGAAGAAATCGTATCATCCTTTTTGGAATTTATGGGCTTTCTTTATTCCCTACTCGGTTCTTGTATACGAAATAAAAGAATTACTACGCCCGAGATATGAAGACGGCCAATTACAATTCTCTTAAGGACGAATGAAAAGCTATGCTAAAGTCTGGTGAGTTTTGAAACTAGATTAGGAATAGAAAAAGACAATTTGAATTTAATTTGCGCCTTGGATTTTATCTATTGACTTTCTTAATATATATTCTTATTTATTTTAGGGGGGAGAGAGAAAGAAGAGTAACACAAAAAAAAAAAAAAAAAAATTTATCTTTTCTATGAGGTGTGTATTTCTTCCTAGGGCACGGAGGACTTCCGACTTCCAGAAACAATCTTCGGCCTTGTCTTCAAAAACAGCCTTCAGATTGTTGTGAGCGCCCCTTCTTAATTGCGTTTTTCGCCATGACAAACACATTCGTTATCACTACGTGAATAGTCGCTCATAGAACCGTACTCCTCCGATAACAATGTTTCATCATATTCGTCGAAAGAGACGTTGTCATCGGGATTTGGTTGCTCATTCATAGATTCATCATTCATTGAATCGTATAATGATCCATTGTCATCGGGATTTGGTTGCTTATCAGATTCCTCATTCATTGAATGTAATGATTTTTCGGAAAAGGCGTTGTCCTTTGATGATTTGCATTCGAGGGGACGTGCTTGAGTAGCCGCCAAAATTGCTGAAAAAAAAAAAAAATTGATGAAAATTTAATTCTCTTCTTTTTCCAATACGAACAAGAAGGATCGAATTTACCAAACAAGAAGAAGAAAATTACTTGAAATTTCATATTAAGATATTTGTCAAGTTGTTTTAGTCAATAATTCGACTGATGCCTACTGCCAACAATAGTTGAGCTATTTATATGAAATGATTCGTTCGAGCAGGAATTGAATTATCTAATAAATGTTTGTTTAATTTATTTATTTTATAATTCATGAGATATGAAATTTGTATGAAACTTTATCGCAACAAGTCATATCCATTATCCGGCTCTAAGCGTTTAAAAGGCCGTCAAGGTGAGATAAAATTTATCTATCTTTTTGTTTTCATTTCTCTTTCAACACATTTCTCCAAATATAGAATTTAATCTACAAAATATATATCATATTTATTGTTAATAAATATTCTCTTAACAATTCCAGTTGAAATGATTTCTCATTTATTTTTATTATTAGTTTATATGTCACACATCATATTTTAAATAATATTATAAATCTCGTTCTATTATTAATTATGATCCGGCATATATTGACAATAATATGAGCATTGAGAAAGAAGAGGAAAGCAGAAGAAGTGAAGCACTTAAGCGAGATGTAAAAGTACAAAGGACTTATGTGCCCCCTTGTGCATATAAACCAATTTCAAATATATATAAACACTGCCACATATTTAAGTGTGTTTTTTTTCTTCGAAAAACTTAAAGTCATCCTCGACGAGGGTCAAGTCTCTCGGAAAATTCCAACAATTAATCAGATCTGAAAATTACAAATGTACAGGTCATGCACCCGCACGCTTCCTTAAGTAAATGCATGAAACATGAAAACTAGTAGTTTACACTACTTGAATATATTAAGCAAATGATCGAACTTACTTTCTTTCCAAACATATATACGGTCTTCCGAAACACTTATATTAGACGCTCAACTTTCATTTGCATTTTCTCTTATTCTTATGAACCGTTTCATCATTTACGGGCCTGGCTGTCTGTGTAAACATATTGAGATATTTTTTTATTTCATTAGTTATTTCAAATTGTTTACGAAAAGGATTTCACCCAATAGCAACAACAAAATTCAAAATGTATTCATAATATAAGATAGAACTATTCATAGGATCGGAAAGCAGCTCAGAGCGTAGTGAACATCGAGTCGATTAACGAAGACTAACAAAGTTTAGTAGGTAGTTAAAACACCAAAAATCTGAAACCTAACGCTCCAAGCCAGACCTTGTTAATGGAAGATTCAATATGAAGGCTGATTCTGAGCATAGATTCAAATAGCAAATCATGCCTATTTCAAAATTCTGTAACATGAATATCCACTAAGAAGATGTATCGTGTTTCAGTTAAACGAAAATGCAAATGCGAATATAATTCAGCCGAGTCGGAATGTATACGCTTATCCAGTATTATCCAGAAGGCACATATCTTTAATAACAATAGTTCGATGGAGTGTGCAATTAAAAATAATAATCAAAAATTTTAAAATTTAATGCCGACGCGTTAGGTATAATATAAAGTGCAGTCCATCTAAGCCAACAGCTTACAACACTTGCGATAGTGAGCATACGTATATTGCAAGACAGAAAGGCTTGAGATGGGATCATCTTATGTTATGATACATGATACATCGACAAATGAGGGCTGAACCCTTCATTCGTTTTTTATATTTCTCTATTCTATTTGGCTGGGGGACTCACTCACCTCTTGCACCTTTTCCCATACACACCTTTATACTTCAACCAGGTCTATTTTTTGATATTTCATAAACGTGTTGTGCTAGGGGAACTAATCACCCGCGAAGCGTGGCAATGCGCATAGTCTATGCACCTAGATACATCTGTCGATGGATAACTTCCTGGTGGAGATAAATAGCTCATAGGCATTCCTTTCTTATTCTGGTAGCTCAAGTTTACCCTCTATGAGGATTCCTTTGGGGTGTCAGTTATCGTTTATCAAATTAACCTATTGCGCTGTCGGGTGCTGTAAAGCGAAGCTATCTGGCCAGATACTCATCTTAAATTGCATAAGGCGTCTATCCATAAACAGGTAAGAAAACAAACAGTGTGACATTTTTTAATTCAATCGAAAGTATGTATGTGTGCTGTCAATATGCTTGAAAATTGTGAAAAAATCCGTTCTTGCGCTATATCACTTTAGTCAAAGCGATAGGGTCTCGCAGGCTTGTGGACTGAGAAGAAACCTGATGTCCACAGCGAAGTTACTTTACCAACATCAGTACCGTACGCAAACAGTTTACTTATTTCCCCTTTGGATATTTCGATGTTAAAGGCGCGTTGTGCCCGATAAGCAGATCGTTTCTAAAGCCAATGAAATTTGTCAACATGTTAGTGAAGACCTGCACATTTCATCTTACAATCTCACAAACAATTTTCAACCATTTGCTTAGGTTTGGAAATTTGGACCAATGTTCTATCTACGAGTTGGCGGTGAAACGAAACAGAGTCGAGCCATTTTTGAAGAGATTAACAAAGGAACGGATAAATGATTCAGGTACGGCAACAGTATACGAAAACGGTCGCAGTAATTGTGGCAAAGCGCAGGATGAGGTCCCGTAAGGTAATGCTTAGCATTTGTTGGAACTGGGAGAGCATGTGCTCGATTCCATTTGTCACCATTTGAGGTAACAGAAATATGTTGCCTTTCATCGCAATAATACTAGACCACTGCTGCTATCAATGACTTGGAAAAGATTTATATAACTTCTTTAAGAGATTTCCATGCATTCATTACGAAGCCTGGGCTTTGACCCAAACAGCTATCATTCGCTTCAGTCTTTACCGTACTCTTTTAATTTCGTTGAAAAAGATGACTTTAAAGGAGACTCGTACAAATGATTTGATTCAGTTCTTCATCCAGCAATCCCAGAATTTTCACAGTGATGAATGATCGCAGAATGATTCTGCCTGAGTAATGCAAAAGTTTGTCGATCGAAAAGATTTACCTTTGATGCATATGCTCTCGATTTTATTGGAAAACGGCGATGAACTTTTTCCTTCGCCACTGTTTGTCGCATATCTATCTTCTGCATTTCTATTTATCTTCCTATACTTCAGTATAAGTGTCAGTTTACCACATTTTTAAAGTGCTTTTGACTGATGTTCAGTTGGATTTATGTAAATTGTTGTTCTCTTTCAAATATTTTTTTTACATTTCTTCAAGTTTACTGTCGAGTCTGTTCACCTCAATTAGCAAACAGTATTTCTTGTATAGCTTTATAACATTTAAGTTTGAGTTGATTGTTTGCTTGCAAAGTTTTTTTCCAACTAATTCTACTTACTCACTTACATACTTGGTACGTAGGCAATAAATGTGTTTCTAGTAATTCTTGATATATAAAAAACGTCACGTAGTAAAGTGCTGGCATGTAAACGCTAACGGGAAGAACCAGCGTTCGACACAAAACGTAAGATTTCATAAGAATTATACAAATGTGTGTTAACGTTTAGGTAGATAGATAGGTGCGTGCACTCTAACAAACCCATAGTGCGTGATGGACGTACAGGAACCTCTTATAATAAAATCGCGAAATCAAATGTGAAGCGAATTTAAAAACCCTAGAGTACGGTTTTTAGAATGATATATAGTCCGATGTACCAAATTTGTCTTCCGTTCAGTATACACTTTCTGCGGCCATCAAAAGGCAAGCTGTCCCCTCTTCATCTCTCTAGAATTGGCAGAAACTGGCGACGTTTTAGTAGGACGTTATAAAAAGGTATTCGGATATTAAAAAAAAAAAAAAAAACAACTATGTGGAATGCACATAAGGACTTTGTTATTGTAGCTAATTGTTTGTGAGTGATTACGCGACAGATGGAATTCTTCAATAGACTATCAATCAGCTTTCCGACCAAATATCATTAAAAGGTTTAAATTTAAAAAAATAAATAAATAAATAAAAATATAAAAAAATAAAACTATTTAACTGAACGTTTCAAGTGGTAATGAGTACAAATTGTATTTGCCTCGTTCTCAATTATGCGGGATGACGTCTGTGAGAAATTGTGACCGTGATATGAGAAATATGTGCATTACGCACATTATTAGCGCAATTGTCACAACTTGTGAACGTTGAAGAATACTTTCACATTTCGAGAGCGCATTCTCTTCCAGATAAATGTTTTCAATCGTTTTGTGGAGATGCTTCTCCTTGCTTGGCGAAACTACATCAAACTACACTTACTTTTAAAATATAAGGGACTATAAATATCGATCGATTCACCTACAATCTACCATCTATTGGCTTTATTGTGTATGGATCACTGGTAAAGGCGGCTGATTATTTCTTTGATGTATCTATATATACCAGAGTTCCTTCCCCAACTGGTAAACAACCGATCTGTCCTTTATATGAGAAATCTTTTTAGAATGAAAATAGAAAAATGCATCAAACGAATTTAACGACATTCTGGTCGATGTTGTCATTTTCATTTACGTGCATAGAACTCTTTATCAGATATCCTATTTATCCCTTTACTAATATACACAAACACACACACACACACACACACACACACACACACACAAACACCTATATATATATATATATATATTACTCGTAACGTGTAACTGAAAAATTTACAAAAGCGATGTGTGCAAGCATGGTGTTTGGTTAGTTGGTCTGTTGATAGGTAAGAATACTTTTACAAAACTTCTCACGTTTTTCTATAATTACGGATAAAAATACGTGCCATGCGTGAAAAAGTAAGAAATAATGCTGATATAAAAGTGATGTGTTGATGTCGATACGAAATGTGATGACAATAATGAAAATTAAGAGATCTTTTATGTATATATATATGCTAGGATGCCTTGCCGGAGTTGCAAAAGCGTATGCTTTCTGCAAAAGAAATATAAATACAAAAAAAAAATTAAACTATTGTTTGTAACAGTTGAAAGTGTGTATGGGTCATTTGACTGTTAACTAAACGCAGTTAAGCATAACACATGAGAACGTTTCATTAAAATATAGTATTGTAAATGGCAGCCTTAAGTTAGGCTATATATTTTAAAGATATTAAAGGTATAAACTTAAGCGAAAACTAGTTTTACAAACAGAGCAATTTGGAGAAACTTTTGCATAAATTTTCTT